GGGGCCACTCTTCGTCGTGGTGCGCGGGCCTCTCACTATCGTGGCCTCTCTTGTTGCGGAGCACAGGCTCCAGACACGCAGGCTCAGTAGTTGTGGCTCACGGGCCCAGTTGCTCCGCGGCATGTGGGATCTTCCCAGACCAGGGCTCGAACCCGTGTCCCCTGCATTGGCAGGCAGATTCTCAACCACTGCACCACCAGGGAAGCCCGTGTTTTGGTTTTTAAAGGAAACTCTGTACTGTTTTCCATACTGGCTGTACCAGTTCACATTCCCACAACAGGGCATGAGGGTTCCCTTTTCCCCATACCCTCGCCAACACTTGTTATTTCTGGTCTTTTTGATAATAGACATTCTAACAGGTATGAAGGGTAGTGGCTGTCTTGAACACTGGGATAAGGAAGATTTTAAAACCAAGCATGGGCTTCATGGGGAAATGTGTGATGACTGGTTAGCAATTTCTGCCATGGTTGAGGAATGAGGCAGTGGGAGTACAAGTGCTGACCTGGGTCAGTGCTACTCAAAGTGTGATTTGCAGGTGGATGTAGGTCTAGAAATATTTGTCACCCATGAAGAAATGAGTACAGAAATGGTAAGTAAGCATTTAAAAACTTTTATAGCAATTTGACATTGCAGCCTCATCCAAGTATATAATTCCCGTTATTTTATAAAGTATTGATCTGTGGCAGATTGAAAACAAAATTAAAACCTGGCCCTTTACCAGAGATACTTTGAGAAGCAGTGACCTGATGGACTGTATTTGACCCCATTAGTTCCTATAAAAGACTTTGGACTTGGAAAGCTTATGAACGCAGCCGAGGTCCTATACATGTCGGCATTTACGTGGACTTGTTGACTGAGCACGGGTGTTTGCCAGTTTTCCTCCTCTTGCTTGGCAGAAGGATTAAGGTAATAACTACTCAGAGATTGCCAGAAATGCCTTCCTGGACTTCTCTACCCATTTCTACTTTCCATTTATTCCATAAAGCCTTCACTAACATTGGCTTCTTCCAGTGGAGAGTCAGTGAGGCCAGCAAAGAGGTGATGTCATAGAAGGGCCTGGAGGGTGATCAGAGAGAGGTGTCCAACATCAGCTATTGAATTGGCCTGGGTGGCCGCTGGGATCATACATGAAATCACCCATTCATTTGCCCATTGATGCATTCTTACTCCTTCATTCTGTCATTCAGCAACTCTTTGTGGAATGCCAACTATAAGCGTCAAAGTGCCAGGTCCTGGAGATATGATGGTGACCAAGGCAGACGCGTTCTCTGCTTTCACGAAACTGACAGTTTAGGAGGGGGACAAGTCTTAAAGCAATAATGTGTGTGAGTGGTGATATAAATCCTGGTAGGTAGTCTGATGGAGAAGCATTGGTTTCTCTGAGAATATTTAGCAGGGGCCCTATCCTAGCTAGGGCATCTTGGAAGGCCTCTGAGGAAGTGACACGTCTGCCGGAGTGGCTGGACCATGATGAATGACTGGAGAGCAAAGGAAGTGACTAAGATGATCCTGGGGAGGTGGGCGAGGGACAGAAGGTGCAAGGCCTTGCAGGCTGCAGAAGGAGTTTGCACTTGATCCCAAGAACAGTAGGGAGCCTAATGGAATTACAAATATGGTTACGCCATGGTCTCTGCTCTCAAGAGACCATCAGCACAGTGGAGGAGAAAGATACCTAAACAACTACCTATAATATAATGTGATCTGGGTTGTACAGAGGTGTACACACAAATGGGAAATAATGGGGTTAGGGGACCGAGATGCGTTAACAGGTGAAATTTGACCCTGTCATTCTCCTGCTTTAAACACTTCGGTGGTTGCCTGTTGTGCTTAGAATATAGATGAGATCTTTCTGTATCGCCCCACATGGTCTGGTTGCACCCTCAATCCCCAGACTCTTCTGGGGGCACTGTCTTGCTTCCTCCACTTCTGACCGGCATCCTGACTGATCATTCTTTAAGTCCCCAGAAACCACACACTTTCTTCCTATAGAGTGGCCTTTATTTATTTATTTAATTAATTTTTTTGGTTGTGTTGGGTCTTTGTTGCTGTGCGCGGGCTTTCTCTAGGTGCAGCAAGCGGGGGCTACTCTTTGTTGCGGTGTGCGGGCTTCTCATCGCACTGGCTTCTCTTGTTGCGGAGCACGGGCTCTAGGCATGCGGGCTTCAGTAGTTGTGGCACGCAGGCTCAGTAGTTGTGGCTCGTGGGCTGTAGAGTGCAGGCTCAGTAGTTGTGGTGCACGGGCTTAGTTGCTCCACAGCATGTAGGATCTTCCTGGGCCAGGGCTTGAACCCGTGTCCCCTGCATTGGCAGGCGGATTCTTAACCTCTGAGCCACCAGGGAAGCCCTAGAGTGGCCTTTTGTTTGGAATGCACTCTCCCTAGGCCCCCACTGCACCCCTGTCTGCTTCACTCATTCTCTAATTTTACAGATCTCAACTTAAATATCCCTAGTTCCCCAGAGGACCTTGTACTTCTCCCTCCAAGTGCTTAGGACAAGTAGAATTCTTTGTTTGTATGATTTGTTGTTTAATGTCTGTCTCCCCTGATGCAGTAGGCACCCGATACATATTGAATGAATGAATGAATGAATGCATAAGAAGACAGCTGGCCTGGCCTGGGAAGATAGAAGTGCTGGCATGAGAGAGTGGACATGGGGCATGGAGTTTGGGTCGAGGGTGGGGGAGTGGACATGACTGGTCCCAGAGCACAGCTGTTCCTTCTCTGTTGGCTTTTCCTCTCTCCCAAGCATGTGTGAAATGAGCCACAACATGATGGGACTCTCTGAAAGGCCACTTTTGAGGGATTATGAGTGCCAATCCTTAGCTCTTCAGGGAAAGCAAGTATCCCAGGTAGATAAACCGTGCCTAGTCCTATCTCTGTGAATTACAAGAAAACCCTTCAACCTTAAAGTTGCTCAGGACTACAGAGCTTCTGTTGGGGTGTGTCATTTAGCAGGTGATGAGCATGTTGGAAGGCTGGGGGCTGGGGCTGTGGTCAGCCACAGCTGAGCCCTCCCTCGTCATTCCCCTCTGCCCTGTGTGAGTCAGTCCCTGCTGGCCTTAAGGTTTTGGTTCAAGAACCAAGAGGCCCATGTCTGTAAAATTTTCTCTGTGAGTCATCTATTGCCGTGTAACAGCTTATCTCCAAATGTCGTGGCTTAAGATAATGCATATCATTGACTATGCCTCATGGTTTCTGTGGGTCAGGAATTCAGAATACAGGGGGCATGACCTGTGTCTGATGCTCCAGGTCTGGGGCCTCAGGTGTGGGAGCAGGAGGGTTGAAGGCTGGGTGCTGGAATCATCTAAAGTCTCCTTCAGTTATGAGTCTGGCGGGTGATGGTGTTGCTGGCCTGGGGACCTCGCTGGGTCTGTGGGCTGAGACACCCACATGTGGCTTCTTCATGTGCTTGGGCTTCCTCACAACATGGTGGCTGGATTCCAAGGGCAAGCATCTCAAGGGAGAGCCAGGTGGAAGCTGAATCCGTTTTAGAGCCTAATTCTCAAGTCACACAGCGTCACTTCTGCTACATTTTATTCGTTAGAAGAGAATCACTAAATCCTCCTCATGTTCAAGGGGAAGGAAATTAGACTCCACTTTTTATGGGCATATTTGAAAACTACCACATTCCCTTCAACAAAAGTCCAGAGAGTACCCTGGAATAGCGGTATATGCTCCAGTGTAAAATAATGACGTCCGGGAATTCGCTGGTGTTCCAGTGGTTAAGACTCCATGCTCTCACTGCTGAGGGCTCTGGTTTGATCCCTGGTCCTGCAGCCACGCGGCCGAAAGAAAAAAAGAATGACATCATAGCAAACATTTCATTTCTGAGATTCTCTAGGACCCTACCCTGGGCAATGTTTTGACAGCTCCCCACATCCCCCAACTCCCTTTAGGAAGAGGCACTAGTTTCTGAGAAGCTTCTCTACCCCTGGTTAAATAAACATAGGACAGTCTGATTTTACTCTGTGTGTGTGTGTGTGTGTGTGTGTGTGTGTGTGTGTGTGTATGTATGGTGGGGACCATCCACAGTTCACCTGAAACTCTGCAGACAGGCTACTTACTATCCTGGAACATTGGGAAGCTTCTCAAGGTTCAGTACACATTTCTGATATTTCAGAGCTGCCCAAAGACATAATAAAGAAATAAATAAGCCACACTAATAGTGAAGAGTTACATTTAAGGGAAGGTTCTTCGACTGAGCTAGTTTAAATGTTAATTTTGTTACTCAGGAGGACACTTTGGAACTCCCTGTCATTATCAAACAATTAAACTGTAGTTCCTTATTAATTTTTACTACTTTCCTAGGGTAATTAGTGGCACGTAATGTGAATTGCATCCCATTAATGAATAGATTTTCGAATGTGAGTGGGCAGAACCTTTTATTTGGCTATCCAACTAGACAAGGCCCACAAAAGGAAGAAAGGTGGACCCTTGCCAGAATAGAGGGCCTCTGCATGTCTCCCTGAGTCCAGGGTGAAGCCCGGCAGTACCCTTTATAAAACATGTAGTCATCAAGCTTCAGGAAGTATGATGGTCCTGGCGCCTTCCTTGAACTCAAAGTTGGCAGTCAGAAAAAGGATAGTTCTATTGGAACAAAGATTTGGAAACCAAAACCACGATATGGAGATTCCTGAAGTCTTAAAGGAAGACTCTCACTTGCGGATTCATCTTTTTGGTTTTGTTGAAAGTGCAGTTTATGAAGCACCTACTATATGCCTGGTACTTTACCAGGCAACATGAGTATATTATTTAATTCTCCACACTCCTTCATGAGATCGCTATTATTATCTCAATTTCATAGACAAGGAAAACTCATCTTGGGCTTAAAAACATGAGATCATATATTAAGTGACAGATCTTGGCCCTGAGGCCAAGTCCAGCTGAGTCTCAAGCCCCAGTTCTCAACCACTGGATCACTGCCTGATGGTCGGGCCATATCTTTATTCATATCCTCTGTTGCATCACTCTGATTTATTTTAACATTTTTCTTGTTTGTAGATTCTATAACTAACAAAATTGAACACAAGTGTTAAAGGACCTTAGAGATGTAATGTGATCCCTTCATCGTTTTTTTTTTTTTTCCCACTTCATCTTATAAATGAGAAAATTGAGGCCCCGGGAGGAGAAGGGACCGTCGACTGAAAACAGATGCACAACCTAAAAGTTGAGAATTATGTTTTATTTAGCGGACTTTCTGAGAACCTCAAGGCCAGGACACAGCCTCTCAGATAGCTCTGAGGGACTGCTCCCAAGAGGTAAGGAAGGAGGTAGGATATATAAGGGTTTTTGCAACAAAGACCAGGTTGTTGGAACATTAGAAGATTACCGTTAATTAAAGAAAACCAGAGAGCTCAAGTTAATGAATTCAGCACTTTTCTACGTATGGGAAGATGCAAGAGTCTGGGCTCACTGAAATCATTCCTTTGCTATGCACCTCAGCTCTCTGGGGCCAGTGTCCTGTTCTTGCACATCCTGAGTCCCCTCAGGGTGCACAGTTGGGGATGGCGGCCATGGCTGAGGGCTTGGCAGTGGGCAACCTGGCAGCCCGGAAGCCATTTGTCACCATGCTGAGTTCCTGCAGGGCTCACCACGGGGGCGGCTGTGGTGGATTGATGGCTGAAACACCCTTCGTTTACTGACATGGCAGGACACTTTTTTCATCCACAGGACTACCTGACCCAGTGAGAGAGCAGTGAATCTGGTTCCATGTACATCCTAGAGGTGGTCCTGGCTGCCAGCGGTTCCCCTGATTCCTACTCTGTTGGCAGAATCCTCAGATCCTAACAGAGAGGCTGACCTCTGGCTTCCTGGGTGGGCTTCTCACCAGCAGTGTCACCTGCTCTGAGAATCTAGGTAAGTCACATTCCCTGTATGGGAAAACCATAGCCAGCTCTGTCTTGTCCCCTGGCAACCCAAATGTCACCAGCCTGAAAATACAAATTGTGTTGGCACAAGTCCCCACCTGCCTGGATGACAGCATTCAACCCCTCCTCGGTTGACCCGGGGGTAGGTGGGGGGCAACTGCCGAGACCACAGGAAGCAAAACTGCAGATAAGGGGGGACCACTGTATAGGAGAGCCTGGATCCTGATGGCTTGGTTGAGTTGCCCAACCAAGCCTAAGGGCGCCTTCCTCTGGGCTTCTCACTTAAAAACAATCAATGCAGAATGGTTTAAGACATTCTTAACCTCTTTATCAGTTATTTCCGGCTGAAAGCTAGCCTAATAGATAGTAGCATGTTGAGTGACGGGACGCAGTCCCTGCCCCGACGGAGCTTACACGCAATCGCTAGATGACAGAGATGCCGGGCAGGGAAGAGAGCGGAGTTGTCGGCTGGGGCAATGCCTGGGTACCAGCTCAGCCGTTCTCTTCTGCTTATCAAAGGAGAAGAACAGCATTCCTTGCACACCGTGTCTCCGTTCAGTATAATTAAATTCCATCTCTATTTGCTTTTACTTTTAACTTCTAATTTCTCAGAGTAAATCTGAGCCAGGAAGAGCTGACCAAGGAAGCAGCTGCCCCTAGGAGCCTGGCCGGTCTGCAGGCGGCTGTGGTAGACTGCGAGCTCATTTAGAGAACACTTTTGGATCGATAATGATTTCAGTTCCACCAGAGGCAAGTGTTTGGAGCCAGTGACTCTGGAGGAGGAGAGATGCTTACATTCGGAGCGCTGGTGTCACGGGTAGAGGCTTTTTCCTTCTCGCCTTCTCTGCGTGGGAGAAGTCATCTCTTTTTTGGCTGGAGGGTTGCTAGATCAGTCAGTCCTGGCAATGGTTGATTCACAGTTCAGATTTTCTCTCGCAGGTGACAAGTTTTGCCAGGAGAGAGGCAGTGGAGGGTAGTGGTTAAGAGCTCCAGCTCTAAGAATCCAGACTCTACCTCTTTACAGGCCGTGTGACCTTGGGCAAGTTACTCAGCCTGGCTGAGCCTGGATTTCTTTATCAGTGCTCTGTGGATAATCACAGGAGACAAGGCTTCTGCTGGCCCTCAGCAGGCCTTCCATAGATCTTTCGAGAAGCATGGTCGCCAAAGGCTGGAATGGGGAGGGAGTGAATTTGTGGAATGCACAGAAATGAAAACATCCCCAGCAGCTGGGGGCGTAACATCAGTAAAGACACAGAGGTCAAACAAAACAAAATAAAAACACAAAACAAAACCCAAAACACGTTGAGGGAGGGGTACCCAGGGCGTTACCAGGAGGTGTTGAGATGAACTCTGTCTCCCTGCCTAGATCTGGTACTGTCAAGGTCCTGCCCTGTGAGAAGTGCCTCCTGTTAAAAAAAGAACTAAAACACTCCCCCAAACGTGACATCCATAAACAAATATTTTTAATGATATTCAAAGTTTCTGTGTTTTTAATGGAAGAAATTGGCACCTTTATGCTGCAGGTAGACAAGTATTCTATTAAAATATTTTAGTAGGACAATTGTCAGTGTGAATCAAGAGCCCTAAAAGTGATCACATCCTTTGACTTGGCAGCTCCACTTTCAGGAAATGATTAAAGGAACTAAGATTATGGTTGTGAGAAATTTAGTTCACATGCTTTTGGCACAGTGTTGTAAAAATAGAGAGGAACTGTCCAATAATTTCTTAAATTCTGGTGAATCTGTAAGTGGAATACCATGTTACCATTAAAAAATATAGAACATTGCTTTTTAAAAGAATGTTATTGAAGTATAGTTGATTTAAAATGTTGTGTTAATTTCTACTCTACAGCCAGGTGATTCAGTTATATATATATATATACATTCTTTTTCATGTTCTTTTCCATCATGGTTTATCACAGCACATTGAATATAGTTCCTTGTGCTATACAGTAGGATCTTGTTGTTTATCCATCCTCTATATAATAGTTTGCATCTGCTAATTCCAAACTCTCAATCCTTCCCTCCCCCAGCCCCCTCCCCCTTGGCAACAAGAAGTCTGTTTTCTATGTCTGAGTCTTTTTCTGTTTCGTAGATATGTTCATTTGTGTTGTATTTTAATTCCATCTGTAAGTGATATCATGTGGTGTTTGTCTTTCTCTTTCTGACTTACTTTGCTTAGTATGATAATCTCTAGTTGCATCCATGTCACTGCAACCGGCATTATTTCATTCTTTTTAATGGCTGAGTAATATTCCATTCTGTATATTTTTCACATCTTCTTTATCCATTCATCTATCAATGGACACTTAAGTTGCTTGCATGTCTTGGCTACTGTAAATAGTGCTGCTATGAACATAGGGGTACATGTATCTTTTCGACTTAGAGTTTCTTCTGGGTATATGCCTAGGAGTGGGATTGCTGGATCATATGACATCTCTAATTTTGGTTTTTTGAGGAACCTCCATACTGTTTTCCATAGCAGCTGAACCAATTTACATTCCCACCTACAGTATAAGAGAGTTCCCTTTTCTCCACACCATCTCCAGCATTTATTATTTGTAGATTTTCCGATGATGTTCATTCTGACTGGTGTGAGGTGATACCTCATTGTAATTTGGATTTGCATTTCTCTAATAATTAGTGATGGTGAGCATCTTTTCATGTGCCTCTTGGCCATCTGTATGTCTTCTTTGGAGAAATGTCTGTTTAGGTCTTCTGCCCACTTTTTGGTTGGGTTGTTTGTTTTTTTGTTACTGAATTGTGGGAGGTTTTTTTTTTTTTTTTGCGATACGCGGGCCTCTCACTGTTGTGGCCTCTCCCGTTGCGGAGCACAGGCTCCAGACGCGCAGGCTCAGCGGCCATGGCTCACGGGCCCAGCCGCTCCGCGGCATGTGGGATCTTCCCAGACCGGGGCACGAACCCGTGTCCCCTGCATCGGCAGGCGGACTCTCAACCACTGCGCCACCAGGGAAGCCCCTGTGGGAGCTTTTTGTATATTTTGGAAATTAAGCCCTTGTCAGTTGCATAAAAAGTGTAGAACATTGTTGAAAGCCTGAGAAAAGGCTCAAGATGGATGCAGATGTGAAACATGAAGACTGGATTATACTTCTGAGGTTTAAACCTGCTTCTACCACTTCCTAGCTGTGTGGCATGGGACAAATTACACAACTTCTCTGTGTCTAGGATTTTTCATCTGAAATAGGGGTCAGAAATCATAGTTGCTTTATGGGTTTATTATAAGTGAGATAATGCTTGTAAAACTTAGGGCAGTGACAAGTACATGGTAAGTGCCTCATCTATCGTTAAGTGAAACTATGAGGACATATTTCAAAAAAAAAAAGGAAGGGAAGCATATGTGCAAAAAAGAAAAAGAATTTATTTATCTATTCAATACATATTTATTGAGTACCTCCCATATGTCAGGCTCTGGAATACAGTGGTGAACAGAAGAAGCCCAAAATCTGCATTAGCAGGGTTTACCGATCCGAAAGGAAGTCATCCTAAGGATCGCTGGGGGTGCCTTTCAAAATGCAGGTGCTGGGAACCCATCCATACCCAGAAATCTGGATTCTGCAGACGTGCGGACATGCCCAGGAGTCTGATTTTGTGTATGCATGGGGAGATTCTGCTGCAGGCTTTGGGAGACTGTGCTGGTGGAGGTACCACCGAGCGATGGTTGGAGAGGGATGAGGAGTGACTGGTTTTTTTCCTGGTATTTTGTAAAGTTTTAACAGTAAGTAAGAATACTTTTTAAAAAATTTTATACCTTTGTAAACGTTTTATATATATAAATATTCGGCAGCTCTGCCCCTCCAGTCTGCCTTCCCCCACATCCAGCACAACCCTTATTTCTTCCCCAATAGCAGAAGCACATTGCATAGATTCCAGATTAGGAAAGCCCTCTGGGAATGGATAGTGGGGCTGTGATTCTCAGATACCTGCAATATCACAAAGGGAAGGTGGAAAATTTCTTGCCCAAATCATCTACTTTTACTTGGATCTGCTTCGGAGCAGGCTCTCTTATGCAAAAGCCCTCTTTAAAGATGCATTTCATTTGCTTTCTTTTTCCTGCAAATTCTCCTGACCTTGAGATTTCTCTGGTGGCTCTAATAATTGGTGCTGTTTCCAGAGTCATTTGTATGGACACTGTGTAATGCGGAGGTGGGGGGAGAAATCTCCGCAGTCATCCTGTGCTTGTATCAGGTGAATTTATATGTTATGGGTTTTGGTCAGATTGATTTGTGTGAAACACCCTGGGGTGTTTGCAAATATGAAAGTTCTTGTAGTGCTGGTCGCTTGTTTGCATTTACAGGAAGAATATAAAGAAGAAAAAAAATTTGCTCTCTCTGTTGACAAACCCCATTGTCCCAGGAGCGTGGTAGAGAAGCAGATGAAGGGGTTCCAACAGGAGAGAAAATTAGAGGCAGGGAGATCAGAGATCAGGGTGAGAAGCTGCCAGTGAAGGCTCATCTGCCCCGGGAATTATTGACAGGTGTGGGCTGCATGTTTTTAAGTACTGGGTAGGTCTCACTAAAGAAACAGGTTAAGATAAACACAACTGCTATGATTAAAGGCTTTAAAATCTCTGAATTCTTTTATAAGTGGGCTCCGTGGTCCTACCTTGAGTTCATTCAGCGAAACAATGTCCATTTTGGGCTGATCTTAGTAGTTACAGACACATAGAAGGAGTACCTGTCAGCTTGGTTATATAAATTGAAAAACATATCTTCCCCAACCCCAAACCAAACCAAACCAAATCAGAATACTTAACTTCTTGTATCAGTTGGTTCTGATGCCTGAAATACTTTTAGTGTGGTTTCTTTTGGTAAAGGTAGGCACAGTAAGTATGTAGCATGCATACGGCTACTTCTTACTTCTGAGCTCATGACAGCCATCACTAATCAATAATAGTATTCTCTACTGCTGAGGCCAGATGTCAGCACTAGTGCCTAATAATCTTACTTATAGTCTGGGCAGAACATTCTTT